GAAAGAGTGCTATATCTTCATTTTAGCCATTAGCTCAGTATTAAAAGGCAGTCTCAAGGGAGGTAAAATATGAGGATTTGAACCCAGTCATCCATTCTTCAAGCTGAGAGTATTCCAGTAATCCTTGTTGCTTGCTTCAATCACTAAGCTATTATAAAATAAGTTAAAGATCATCTTAACCTACTTCTGCAGCCAAGTTTTGGAAGAGTAAACTAGTTTTCTACATCCAAGGGATGATTTAAAGTACCTAATTGGTGGAGAGGGTTCAGCTCTATGATTCCTAGCACCCCATAAATGCCTAACTCAGTACTGAAAAACAGGTATTTAAAATGCTAGATATTAGTGGCGTTTTAGACATATTTAAGGCTTTCCTTATTGGCTATCTTGGGTATCTCCCATGACTCAGCAGGCTGGTTACTGTAAAACCTATTTGGAGGTGTCTAATTCCCCCTTCAGCTCTTTGGTTTTGTGAATTCAATTCTATAAATTAAGGCTGCTTGCAGACATTGGGGGGAGCAGGGTGGAGAGGGTGGAAGAGAGAGACTGCTTTACTGAAAACAGCAGCACATTACTAAGACCCAACTCTGCAGTGTCTGTATAGATCAGGAGCTTCAGCAGTACTTTTTGGCTACCAGATAAAAGCTCCAAAAAAGCCCTACTAAAGCACTTGATCTATACAGATGCTGCAGCGCCAGGTTGAAATAATGCATTAATTTCTGAACTTGAGCTGGGCTTGGTACAGGAGCATGCCAAATTCAAAGTTAAGTGCAGTATGTTTGTTTTTTTCACATCTGCAAGCAGCCTAAGTGCCTGAAGATTAGATGCAACACCCAAGCGCCCTCCTAAATGTAAGTATTTATTTTTAAATAAGGAAACAGCAATTTGAATAGAACAATTTAAGTTAGTTCTTACTCTTGAAAATTATGTTGTTAGCACCCATTTTTTTTTGTAATTTCCTTGTAATAAATATGTAAGTATGTGCAAAACTCAAATAATATATTTCAATTGAGCAACACCATTAAAATTACATTTTCAAAAGATACCTTTTGAGAGGGAAAATGGGCTTATAAAAAACAGTGAATTATTAACATGACAGAAAATGTAATCTTTATTATGACCAATATTTTCAATAAAGATGATGGCTGTTATACCATGTTCTTCATTGTAGTCTTCCTGTATCATGTCTTCTGTAAAAATTAAATGAATGTTCAAGTCAGAATTTTAGGGGTAACAAAACAACTAAAAATAATCCAAGAAAGTATCCAAGATCAACATGATTTATTCAAAAATAAAATTCATAAATGCTTTAAAAGTATTATTGAGAACCTAATTCAGGCTTAGGGGTGTTGGTTGTAGCCATGTTGGTCTAAAGGACATGGGGCAGACAAAGTTCTTTGGGTAAATCTGATATCTTTTATTAGACCAACTAAAATAGTTGGAAAAATTCTTTTTTGCAAGCTTTCAGGTACAAACACTAGGCCTGTGCAAGTAGGCAGCTATTCGATCTGGCTTCGGATGCCAGGGATCCGATCCGGAGCAACGGACTGGGTTTCCGCTTTGATCTGGCTGAATTGGCTCCGAAGCTTTGGAGCCACCTCAGAGATCCGGCCACAGCAGGGGCTACCATCCCTGCAGCTTTCATCCTGCTGCACCTTAACACGCACACAATGTCACCCATGTCACGAGTTTTGTTTGTCCACAGCTTGAGGTGCAGTTCTCCCCAAACCCCTTCACCGATCTGCTTGAAACTTGGCAGGCTTTGTGGCCTCACCAGGGGCTACCACACCTGCAGTTTTCACTCCCCTGTGCTGGACGTGACACAGACGTGACATGAGTTCTTTCAAGAATTTGGGGTGCCGTTCCCCCCGAACCCCTGCATTGATCTTATTGAAACTTGGCAGGCTTCATGCTCTCAGCAGGTTACCACCCCTGCAAATTTTATCCAAATTAGACAAAAAACAACAAAGTTATAGATGTTTCATTGATTCCCCATTATACCCTATGGCCGGATCTTCGAAGTGGCTCCGAAGCTTTTCCAAAGCGCTTCGGAAGCTCCAAACTGCTTTGGAAAGCCTAACAAAGTCAGTGCTTCAATCCGGACATGTTGCTTCGGATGCTGAAGCATCTGAAGCTTCTCTGGATTTGAAGCATGGTCCAAAGCCTCACACAGCCCTAACAAACACCTTACTTCAGGCAGAGGGAGCATATTTTACTTGGTCTAATAAAAGATATCAGACATACCCAAAGAACTTTGTCTGCCTAATTCAGGTTTAGGTTTATAACTACTTCATCAAAATAAAGTGTAATACATTATGTAAAGCTATAACAACCTTTCACTTGTGTATTAAAAAAAAAAGAGCCCCACACATAACCAAAACCCAGCTTTTTAAACCCAATGTGTAAAACAAACAAAAAAAAATTAGACAGTACCTGGGGGATATTCAATATTCTCTTCTATAAATGATTCAATGTCATCTAAAAAAAGAAGTACTTTTAGCATGCTGTATTTTGATTAATGAGTTGTTAAATAGCTCAGGAACGCAGGTGTAACCACATCATCTAGTATATCAATATTTATAAGAACAATTGAATATGCTGCTTAACAATGACTACTGAATTATAAAAAAATCCAGAATATACATCATGGTCGCATCCATCCATGATGAGCACAGCCATTTGGCAGCACCACACACGTGCACGTTCAGGCATTTCCTGTACTGCTACCTTGCAGCACGGGAGGATTTTTTGACCGTGGGAGATCCTAGGATCAAAAAAACCTGTGTGGAAAAAAAGTGGAGTGGTGCATGTGGCAGCAATGTGTGCCACCTAAAAGCAGAGTCTGGCCCGCCAGAGCCACACTCCAGCTGTCAGCCAGACTCCACGCTGCAGGATCAACAAGGCTGCAGCTTCCCCAGCCCCTGGGTGAGGCTGTTGGGGCCAACATAAATTGCTGGCCCTAGTCTCCCCTACCCACCCAGGGTAAATTGCTGCACACGAGAGGCCACGTGGCACAGGCGTTCCCCAGGGACAAGCAGCACTGGCACAACATGTGCTGCTGCTACTTGTCCCCAGGGAAACAAACATCCCTGCTTATCTAGACATACCCCCATGAGTCCTCAACCCGTTACTTATGCACATACTTAAAATAAAAAAACATGCCTGTCTCACTGAGGCTAGTTGAATTAGTCACCTAAGTAAAATTAAGCACATATTTTCAACAAGGGCACATACAATCCTCAGAGAGTTTTAAATGCAACTGCAAAGCAAAGAGCATTTGAAAAACTAAGAGAATACATGCACACAATTTTTACTTTTGATCAAAATATTGTTTTGACATATACCGCACATGATAATAAGGGGGAAAAAAAACAATTTAAAATAATGCTAAATGTTTTCCTTTTCTTCTGAGATGCTTGAAACAAGGTAAGAATTACTGCAAGACAAGGACAGTTAGACTAATGAAGTGAAGGGTTTTTTTTTGTTTTTTTTAAATGAGACTATAATTTTGGTTAACAGTGTGTTGACTTAACTTATGTATAGTATGCAGTACCATTCTGATGAATATAAAAACACTGTAGTGTATATTAAACATTAAAAACCGGCTCACATATTTTAAAATATAATTGTTAACTGGAATTCAAAGGAGGACACTCCTAGGGGAGCCTTGCATGAACTGTTCTTATAAATAATGCCAGCATCATTTAATGACAATAGCATGGAAGAAATATAATCTTTACTAATTAAACACAGACTAGTGGACTGGTGAAATGAAGACAAGTTATTTATATCAAGTAACTAAGATTCTCTAACACAGTGGGAGGCCAACCTTTTTAGCAAGTCACAGAATCATAGAAAACTAAGGTTGGAAGAAACCTCTGGTCCAACTCCCCAACCAGATCTTTCCAGCCAGGGCTTTGTTGAGCTGGGCCTTAAAAAAACTCCAAGGAGGGAGATTCGACCACCTCTCTAGGTTACCAGTTCTAGTGCTTCACCACGCTCCTAGTAAGAAAGTTTTTCCTAATATTCAACCAAAACTTCCCTTGCTGCAACTTGAGACCATTGGTCCTTGTTTTGTCATCTGCCACCACTGAGAACAGTCTAGCTCCATCCTCTTGGGAACCACCACCTTTCAGGTAGTTAAAGGCTGCTATCAAATCCCCTCTCAGTCTTCTCTTCTGCAGCATAAGCCCAGTTCCCTCAGCCTGCCTTCAGAAGTCATACACCCCAGCCCTCAAAACATTTTCACTGCCCTCTGTTGGACTCTCTCCAACTTGTCCACATCCTTTCAGTAGTGGGGGGCCTAACACTGAACACAGTACTTCCAGGGGTGTCCTTACCAGTGCCGAACAGAGGAGAAGAAGAATTATTTCCCTCAATCTGCTGCTAATGCTCCTACTAATGCAGCACAGTACGTTGTTAGCCTTCTTGGCAACAAGGGCACACACAAGCATGCTAGAACATACCATATTTTCTCACACAATGCCCCCCCACAAAAACACAAACATTGTTTTTGGAAGCAGAATGTACAAAGAACATATTTTTTACTGATTCGTGGCTGACTGTGACAGAGTGAGTCCTCTTGGGAACATAGTGTTTCCAGGAAATGGAGCGTTATGAATTTCCTGGTATGGCAGACTTCTAGACGCGTCCCATTTCTAGGACTGATTTTTGTCACACAAGGTTAGGCCCCAGGCCCTCACAAAGAACAACGGAAAGACAGTTACTTCTTTACTGTAAATAATTATTTATATAAGTTCCTGTAAACAAACTGTTGCTTCCACATTACAAGCCTCATCAATAACCAACAGCTCACTTGCTACTTTAGGCACAAGCTACAATGATCAGCCAAGGGTGCAGACAGAAGTAACTATGTTCACTAGGTGCCAGAAAGCCATTTACAGCCATGACCAAACAGAAATGCATGTCTGCAGACTGCTTTAAAAGGGCTCAATCCTGCAAAAATCTGAACCCTCATTGCATGAGGATTCAAATGAACATGGTCCAAAACAGCGTGCATTGTATCTGCAGAGCTCCCAGCCTGTCGCTGTTTTCAGAATGGACGGGGGAAAGGGAGCAGGAGGAGGTTGGTCTGGGTTTTTTTCAGCCAGCACCTGAGGGGGGCGGGGCAGGAAGGGCTCGAATCCACCCACCCCACCTTCCAGTGCCTTCTGGGAAAAACCACGAATGAACTCCCTCTGCCTCCCTTGCCCCACTCCCATTCTGAAACCAGTGTCTGGGCTGGGAGGGCGAGTGGCTTTGCTATGGAGACCAGGCTGTAGGTTCACAGCAGCAAGCATCCAGAATCCCCAACTCCTGGACCCATCAGCAAACTTCTGCTGGGTCCAGGGGATCATTGCAACTCATAGCGCTGCTTGCAAAGTGCTGAGTTGCAATGGGGAACTGCGCTGTCTGCACCTCAGTAGTTATGGCTGTGAGGATTAACACAAGACTCTGCCTATTTAGTTTGCCAAGCCATGTAAGTGGCAGCCATCTTGGTAGCAGCGTGGCATGCACCGCATCTCTTTTTTTGCAAAGAAAAGAGTTTTGCTGCTTAAAACACTCAATTTTGGAGAG